AGAGGAGGCCTGGGGACCTAGGGTCACCTCTGCTGCCTACTGCTGCCCCAGGTGGGCGTGGCTCACAGGAGGCTGAGAGTGGAGGTATCCTGCTGGATTCTGCAGGGAAGACAGAACTCGGTGACTGTGGACTGCACAGCAGGTCTCAGTTGGACCAGAACTCAGGACATTGAGCAGGACTCCCTTACCATGTCCCAGATCTGTGGTGGGTTGAGGAGCACAATGATCCACTGAAGCTGTAGGGATCCTGGGAGTCACCTTCAAGATCCTCCTCATGGGATTCCCCTTTGGAGGCAGGCAATGTTATCCTGGTTTGGAAGCTGATCCTCTATTGAATTCTTATACAGAATGGTGAATCTAGCAGTTTCCAGCTAGGAGCTGGCGGGGGGGGGGTGTTAAGAAAATAGACTCACAGATGCAGATTTTGAAATTAACAGCTGGGGTCTGGTGGGCTGCTGCTCTCTGATGAAGAAGCAAGTCTAAAGAATTATGCCAGCAATCTTTATTGTCTCAATATCAGATTAAAGTCTATGCAAGCATTATTCTTTGTATTCATAAAATTTACAGAGTTAGCAACATTATGCAGCTTATTCCCCCAGTTATATTCTACAGTAGCAATGGCAAAGTTAGGAGCTTTGTTTAGTTCTCAAGAAAGTCCCATTGTTTAAAGTGACTGTCATGGGGGCAGGTTTAGAAGTGGCAGAGATGGTGAAACATTGTTTTTGTTTAGCAAAAGATTACCTCTATTCCCACAAGCTATGTGCCTGAGATCAAGATCAAGGTTGATAAGACTCTAGCACAGAGCCTCCTCCTAGAGGGCATTATCACAGCAGCTAAGCATCCTGCATGTTTGCACAGAAACTTTCCTAGGCACCAAGCATGCCACAGCCATGAAGTCATCAGAGACCCCAGTCTCAGACACCGCTCTCCCATTCTCTGTCTCTACTCTCCATAGTGGAAGGTGCAGGACTCTCTTCCAATTTCCATGGAAAAGGAAAATGTCATTGGAACTTCCTCACACCCACACTGGACTGCCTGTGGGCACCAGAGCTGAGCAGGAGAGGAAAAGTCACTGGGACCTAATAGTAAGCCACTCCTCACCCCAGGGCCACAAACTCACAACGTTCATGTTCCTTGTGGATTTTGACCCTGATGACATCCAGGAGTCCTTGTTCAATGGGAGAGTGGATAACGAATGACGAACATGTAGACGAGGCTCCAGAAACAGACATCCCAGGTTGTTGGGCTCCAAAGTCACAGTTGGGCCCTGCTGTTGGCAGTTGGGCCTTGCCCATCCCCCGAAGTTCCATCTACCTTCTCTCAACCCCCTGAGAGATGACTGGTGTCCCGAGCCTGCCCTTCCAACTTCACATATTCGTCCTCTGAACATCACCTGCCTGACAGGCACCAGGCATCAGGGTTCAAGGGCTGAGATGGGCCAGTGTGCCTGCCATGTTTGTGTTTTCAGAAAACTATCAGGGAGCCTCCTCTTTAGATACAGTGTGGATCAGCTACGTTCTGGAGTGTCCCCAGACCTCATGCATGGTCAGCCACAACATGTGTACAGTCTTCACTCTACAGTGTCCTTGCCCAGAAGTCATGGTGGCCAAGGACAGCACTAGGGTGCAAACAGTGCTTTACCCCCAGGAGATGGTGGCCAGCAGAAGCCAGAAGCAGGCTGGGCACATGTGGGGATCCCTCTCCAGATCAGGATGAGAGGCTCCTCAGTGCCCATAGTTGCTGTGCCTTCTCTTTAAAAGCCCAGTGAGTGAGTGGCAGCCTTGTTGTCCTTGAGCCCCACTGTGGTTATTGAGCCATCCTGAGTCCCCTTCAGAATGTCTCTAGGATGAACTGGTGACTTTAGTGATCCTCTGAGTTTGAATCCTGCCCAATTGATTGCTCCCACTGGCCCTTCCTTTCCATGCACTGATCCATCCAGTTTGACAACATTATCTCCCTCGGTTCTCTCAACACATGTGTTATTTTCTCTTGGGGCTTAACTGGGGTTCACTCTGTGAGCTCCATCATTTCCCCCATGCAGGTTCAGACTGAAACCTCCATCGAAGAACTCACTTTCCAACTGGGAGCAAAGGCTGGAACTACCTACAATACAGACTCCCACACTCAGAGGTGTAAAGAGGGTCACAGAAGGGCTGGGGATGTGGCTCAA